CACCGCAACCTGATATGTGTTTCCCATTGGGTCTGGACACTTCATTTTGACCAAATGCTATTTTCATGTTATGGTTTTGTGTTTTTTACTGAAAAGTCCAGCCAATGTCATCAAATGATGCCCAAAATAGGTGATCGTGGTGTGATAGTCACCTTTACCTTAGAATATTTGGTACAACTCCAGGAACAATATGAAAAGGGTAAACGAACATTTGCTAGCGTATTTCAACATTGCTGGGGGAGGCCACCATCACAAAATGCAACTACTTCACGCAACTGCTTGCAGCATAAGCAGTAACCTGTTTATGCTGCATTGAACAGTAACCTGTGCATGATAAATGTATCCAATGTGAGCAGCAAATGTAGTTAATGCGTGCAGTGGTTAGTGTTGTACCTGAAAATTACATAAGGTCAGCAGGATAAAATGTCTTTATGATTTACGCTAAATGTTATGCTGAAATAACAAGATTATTTAGAATACAAGGCTACCGACTTTCAGAAGACAGATCAACACGGCGCCCGCCGTTTGGTGGCACTGGCATTGGCCGAAACTTTTCGGCTTCACGGAAGCTGCAACCTAGACCACCCTTGTCCTTGCCTCGAGGTTGCGGGCGAGTATGTTCAAGCTTTTTGATGTAAGTTGCTTCACTAGTGCATGCTGAAAAATGAACGTTTTCAGGCAAACATGGCATGAACATGCTCATTTTCAAGCTCATGTCGACCCATCCTATACAACAATAATGAGATCCCACTCTACTCAACAATAATGAGACCCTTTATTCCCTTCCGGGTGAGGGGCCTCTTGAGTAGAACACCAGGGGTACAATACCGCTTCCGGTCAAGGGCTGAAGGGCCATTCCGTCCCATCGCAAAGTGTCATAACTGATAAATGACAAGAAAACTATGTAATATGGTCCTGAACATATGCGCTCGCAAGTCATAGCAACAAGAGCCTCGACGCCCGGCGTTGCAGTCTCCAGCCCGTGCGGCATCGACTGCGGCTGTAATACTAAGCAATGGCCAATGATCAAACGAAAACGATGACGCATCTTAAGGACAATGTCGGGTGAACTAGGTCAATCGGCATGCATGTTTAATATGATGTTGCATCGAGGGGATGAATCTCTTGGAATCAGCTGGGACAAAGTTTTTCCTTGGCACACGGATTAATGATAGACGTTCAGATCTGTCGCACCGCACCAATGTTGATATTCGTGAGGCGAGAACAGTTTTCCTTTGATATGACAAAAACACCGTATTCGATACTAGCGCCACCTATTTTACGCACTGAGATCATTCTCCAATAAGCCTCAAAGCTGCCACTCTCTGTACTACTGGTATTTGATGGATTAAGTATGAAATAGATAGTATGAAGAACACCAGAACATTGGCAAACAGCTTTTAAGGTGATTTTTTAGTAGAGAACATTAATTTTTGGTAAAACCCAAAGCTGTGCAGTTATGAGAGTGCTCAAGCACACCGGGTTTGGTTCAAGCTTGTTATTGCTAACGCATCATTGTGATGATCTGCGATTCATGTGCTTTTTGCTTGGGAGATATGGATTTATAACTTAAATTTTGTCCGTACTGAAATATTTCATTCGAGAAATTAATTGTATAAGTATGCCGAAGGCTACACGGTCGCACACAGAACACTTTGTGAAAGGCCATCCGGTTCTTCTGTACCACCGCCAACTGCCGACCACAGAAAAGCCTTGAGCTACATCAGGTGGCTGAGTGAATCGAAGAGGAATCTCACTGATATCATCTTCAAGACCGCGACGGTAGAAATCAGGGTACTGTGGACCAGCGAAGCGATCCCTGTTCATGATCTGAAATATGTGACAAAATGAACTGAGAGGAACTGATATCATCCCAACAAGCCTGTCAGCAAGAAATCAAAGAAAGGAAGAGAGTGACACAGCAACGCTGCCACCGCGAATTTCAACAAGCTTCTTGATGTCGCGAAATGCAAATACAAGCTTCAGTGCAGATTTCCATGCCCCGTTGCCTGCACAGTGCATCAGGCGGAGGTTGCCATGAAGGGCCACTGCAGGCACCGGAAGCTTCCCTGGGGTCATAAGACCGGGATGCGATTGTGGCTAGGGAGGCTCACGAGATGCGGAGGATGGTCAGACAACTCCAGGGGTGTCGTGGCCCAGCTGCCTGTGAGGCGGTGTCTGCTGCTGAACCTGAGTCGCCTTCCCCGCCGAATGCTGAGCCCGCGCCGCCTGTTGAGCCAGCGCTGGCTGCTAGTGCTGACCCCGAGCCCGCTCCGGGACCAAGTGGTTTCAGCGCTGGCGTTTCAGCCGAGAGCACGGATTCTTACACGGTTCCGTACATGGTAGAAGGTTGCGACGACACCAATTGTTCGTCCCTGTTGAGACCACTGTCACTGCAGGTTATAACGTTAAAGATCTGACTAACACCGCTCTGGCGGTTGCCAGATACGGTGGCTCGAACCGGGCCGCTGCTCCTATCATCATCGCCTGTCATCCAGACAGCAGAGACGGACTGGCCACTTGATATCAAATATCTTAGATCCTAACATCCGATTGTATTGTAGATCCGATTGTTCGTTCCAGAGATCACTGTCACTGTAGCTTATAACGTTAACGATCTGACTAACACCGCTCTGGCGGTTGCCAGCTACGGTGGCTCGAACCAGGCCGCTGCTGCTATCATCATCACCATTCAACAAGACAGCAGAGACGGACTGGCCACTTGAAATCAAATATCGTAGATCCTAAGAAGATCTGCTGCGCAAGAGGCAGAGCGAGAAAGGAGGCGGCTGGTTAAAATTTTGAAGCAATCCACGGGTCAGGTTCGACATCCTCTGCTTCGACAGCTGCGAAGGCAGGAGCTATATGAACCACACGGAGCCAGATAAGTGCCGTCGAAAAACCCGTGGTTGTCATCACTGAGCCAGGCAGCCGCTATGTGACTCATTTTACGTCCGAGTTCGGCCGCACCCTGTACTTGTTCAACGAGCTACACTCCGTGAACCCGCAGTGCGACGGTCACATCAATACGCTCGGCTGCCACGGCACGACCGTCAACACCGAAACGATAGGCGACGTGTTCCGCCACATGTTGAGCGTGTTGAGCTGGCCACCGAGTCACCCTTACACTGGTTTATCTGCCAGCTGCACGGCAACGAGCTGAACCTCCTCCATCTGCTGCTGAGCTTGGACGGCACGACCACGGGATCGATTTTTTTCTGGACCCATCGGCAAGACCTGTGCCGTAGAGGTCTGGGAGAGGGATGTTGTGGCATTCAAGCTTAGGTCAGGGCAAGTGCCAAACCTGCCGGTCGACCCGATTCAGCAGCCGAACACCAACCAGCAGCTGTTGTACCTTCTGGCCTCCGGCGTTCAAAACGGCTCTGTCCGGAACGTGGCAGCCCAGCGGCGAATCGGACCATCGAACCGTGTCAGGTAAATATGAAGACGCATTATCTTCGAAGTTATAACAATGAATGTTTAAAGTTCATCAAGTATCAATTGATATTTCATGTGCTCAGTGCTGAGCATTTCCTCGTTATCATACTTAGGTCGTAGTATGCATATCATTTGCCGGTTGGTTCATGCTTACTAGTATGTTTGTTGATATGTGTTCTGCCACATTTAAGGACTCTGGATATCGGCATAATTACAAACACTTAAGAGGTGCAACAATTTTTGTATGATAAAATGCTCAGTTCGTAGCGAATTATTCTAATATATTCCCTTTTTTCAGATGATTGACACTGGCCGCTCGCCTCTAGTTAACATCTCTACCGAGACCTCCAGCAGCGCTCTCAAGGACCTCGTTCAGTGCGTGGTCGGCCACTAAGTGCCGGTACGGTCCGCCTCCCGGCAGAACAGCAGCTGCGACTTTGGCTTACGCAACTTGATCCGGAGCATCGCGCTGCTCCACGAGCTACCGCGCATCAGTGAGTCATACGGCCGAGGGCAAATTGACAGCACAAGGAAAATGGTGCACCATAAGCAAATTCACATCTCATTTCAGTGTGAAAGTTAACACTACGCAGCATAAGTTATAACACTTTTTGCAGCATCAGCACAGGACTAATATCACAATTTCTAAACAGAAAAGCCAATATTGTTCATCCTGAAGTTTGTCAAATATCAGCCAGAAGCCAGAGGATGTATTTATTTATTTATTTACACACACACACACACACACACACACACACACACACACATATATATATATATATATATATATATATATATATATATATATATATATAGTTCATATAAAACACATAAATACCATGCATATATACATATCTAAATGGGCCAGAGCTCCAATAATTGATTTTGGAGCCAGCATGAGTCATGAGTCAAGTGCTTGAATCTAAATATAGTCTGAACTTAGTCAAATGAAAAATGAAAGTGCTGAGTCACGAGCTGAATCAGATTCCGCAATATGTGAACCAGCCCGGAGCTGACTCAAGACATTTGGGTCAAACCCAAGTCTATTAACCACAGCTCGAGATTAGTATCCCATTCTTTGCACTACCCGGATGACGATATCTTTCCAAAGTCCCTGTGGTCCAGGATATATCAATATCATTCTCAGCCGGTAGATAACACCCCTCCGTAAATTATGCGCAAGAGTTCCTCCGGGCACGTTTTTTAACCACTTCCACTGACCACTCACCGACCGACCTTGCCGCGTCCTAGGAGTAACTCGCATTCATATGGGAATGGGGATCCCAAAATGGTGAAGGTCTTCTACTCCCATCGAACGAAAACAAATTCGCCACGTTCTCCTCTGAACAGCCTCATGTCTCATTTCCGCTGTTCAGCCCTGGGTTACGGGATTGGCCTATTAAGCATCTGTGCGGTACTAAACTCCGCCACTTTTAGTACACATCAGTACTAACCCCAAAGGGAGTCAGTTATTTGGTAGCACAAACTCCTCAAATAGGTAAAGGATTTGGGACACTCGGTTTCCATGACAACACAATCACCGGCTGCGTTAAGCCAAACAAATCAAGACATTCCGAATCCGACTCGAAGTTTGATGTGATTTGTGGGGGGATCTTAAACTTTCTTTGACATGGGAGAAGCTATGAGGATTCTGACAAATTGAGGGTCCAATACCTTTCAAACTGCTCTGCATTTCAAGTTGTAGTTAAGGTGCTTTTCACGCAGCTTGCTTCCACTCCTCTGCGTCTTTGTTGCATATTCTGCACCACGTTGACGGCCCATAGAGCGCGAATCGTGACATGTCGAACTTTGACTCAAAGAAGCAGCAAGTTAGAAGAGAGCTGGAGAAAATGGGTTACAAGAACATCCCAGAGCAACAGTTAAATGAGTTTACATCAGGTCAGTCGGTTATCTTTATCAACTTACAGCTGGTCTTGTTAGTCAAGTTAACAGTTCAGGCTTTCTGGTTGGTGGGTGGTAGGTAGCCCAGGGATGTTAATGTTTCTAGCATGTATGCTCTCACCATTTTGTTGATGAGGTATAGACAAAAGACAAGCATGTCAAACATTTTTGCATATGACTAAAAAACAGGCTGAATAACAAATCCTTTGCAATGGTGTGCTGTTATAGTGTAAATGGAAGCATAGCTTAATAATTTTAACATTCATTTAGAGGTATTTCAATGGTCTCAGGCTTGTTCATTTTTAGATGTGCTCATGCATGCTTAGAGCTGCCAAGTTTGCATATGGTGTATCACATTTCTTAAAAAGGTTGTCATACTTAAAAGATGTGATGAAAATGTCACACAAGACCAAATTTTCATCAGATAATGTGTTAATTATTTATGTATTGTCAATAACACATCTCAGAACCAAACATTTTTGATCAGCATCATGTTGCCTATAATTTTTGATGGCTTTGTAGTGGATGATATATTTCAGTCAACGCTGCTGCAGTGCAATGCAGAGGTATTCATACAGGAAGGCTTGATCAGTCTCAGTACATTCAGGATGTGCATAGTCTGTAGGACCAAGCTCTTGTATTAGATGATAACAACCTTCTGCTAATGAACTGTCTGCTCCATATGCTTCTTGGAACTGTGGTATGTCTCCCAAGTGCACTTGACATGTACTTGAAGCTTTGATGTAGTCTAGGAGGTTTAAACCTGGGGTCAAAACAGAGAGAAGCTGGAAATCCTTTAGATACTGCTCTCCATGTGCTATACAACCCAGGGATGCATACAACTGAAATTATCAGCAGTCAGACTATGCATTTTATTTGGTTTTATATTTTTTAACAACATTTTTTGTGCTGTAGGGATTTGTGAAATTTAACTGTGGGACACACTTTCAAAAATTACTGTGTAGCCTGGGCACATTTTTTTGCAAACAATATGATTAATACAATGTTTCAAAAAACATACTACAAGATGTTCAACTTTGAAGGAACTCAGGGAAAACAGTGATACACAAACAGCAGAAGTTTTGCTTGACCAGCTGACCAGCCAGTGGCTTCACAGGCCAGAGATGCAGCACTGCTGTCTCCTGTCCACTCATTCACTCCCTCCTGGTAGTGGTGGGTTGAGCATTGAATGGTGGAGGTCACACAACGCAATGTGAAGATGAACAAGTGCAATCTGGACACTGGAAATAAGACTTAGCAATACTGTTGACAATACTGTTGTTATAATGTTGCCAGTTACTGACTGTCCACAAGGTGTTGTTGAAATGGTGTTATCAAGCAGATATCTATATGTATGTGAAGGCGTACCCAATAATGTTGCTGGACCAGAACCTTCTGGCATACTGAGGATTGATTATTTACAGCGTAAAAACTCTCAATGCCGATGTAAAGTCATAATGCCAATCAGGGGCTGAGTGCCTTTTTTGCTTGTTCCAAAATTTATATTCCTGTTCATTTTAGTTTTCACTCCTATCCCTCTCTTCACAGCTTCCTAATTCACAATCGCTTAGGACAAGGAAGGTCAACATTCTTTGCTGTTCCGAAAGTTTTGAATAACATGGAGATAACCGTCTCGGCCTGGACATGTTCCTTTATCTGTAATTGATAACGCTGGAAAGCTAGTCTCCGGCCGTGGATCGCGGACCAGTACTGACTCGGGCTCAGAAAAAGGGAACCGTAGTACCGCCATGTCCCTCGCGAGGGATCACAGCACTCATACTAACGCTATGGTGCAAGTTTGCTCGTGCTGCTTCACATTCGGCGGCTCGACCACCCTCCTCCCGCCAGGCTGATAGAGAAAATGTCATGTTTCGTGACTACTGCCAACGGCTCCCGAGTTATTAGCGGCCAAACAACGGAGTTTCCCGTTAATTTGATAAAAGTGCTGATACATTATGCTGGTGACGATAGGATCTCATGGCTAGAGGCGTGACTACAACTGCTGACTAGTCAAAACGCATCTGATCCAGTGTAATGTGATAATGTCTGGCGTGGTTCCACTGCAGACCTGCAGCGGCTGATCTGTCGGGACCGGGGCAGCCGTGGGACCCGCAGCCAGGCCCGCTCCGGCGCCGTGACGTCACCCAGCTCCAGAAGTGGCCGCGACCACAGTCCCTGTCAGCCAAGTACGGGGTAAGCCAACACTCAGCGCATGCTTACCACAATTCTGATCGAGCAAAAGATACGTGTGCCCACGCTCATTTTGTGAACAGCTTCATTTCTGCATTCGTTGTTTCCAGTAATGTTCTTAAAGAAAATGATTGATAATGGTAATGACTGTCAAAGGGCAGGCATATATAGATATATTCAACATAAGATTTTTGCCGGCTCATTCGTTACCGCATTGCTACACAAACCGTCGCATTTGTGTATTGCAGAAAAACCACCCCAGAAAATAACACTGTCCCGTCTGGCGGTACCCGGTCAGTTCCCGCCGTCGCTATTGGTGGCCGAAAGCCCCCCCCCCCCCCCCCCCCCCCCCCCTGAACCCCGGCGCTCCACCGGTAGGCTGTCGGCCCGCAGCAGTCAGTATTACCGGCCCGAGTCGGCCTCCGGGGTGACGAGCAGCAGCTACCGCGGCTCGCCCGGCTGCAGCGGCTCGCAGCGCTCCTCCAGCGCCCGTCCGCGCCGGAAGGTACCGTGGCACGCTCTCCCCCCCCCCCCCCCGTCGCCAGCACGGCCTGCCTGCATGCGGAGCGTCGTAACCAGCGGCGTGCTACCCTAATAAGTCGGATACCGATCTGAGAGCGGTGGTCCAGTCCAGGTCCAGTCTAGCGGTCGTAGGTGGAGAGTAATGCTTGAGATTTATAGTCTGATTGGTAGAACTAGAATAGCTGCAGGACGTCTGTGCATGTGGGAGCTCTGCATGTGTACGTGTTCACACGTTGAACGGGACGGAACAACGTGTGCGCTTCACCCTCGGGATGTATCATAACTGCGTAACCCCGCTAACCGGCGCGCGTCCTGCGTCCTGCGCGACCGTGGCCGCTGCGACTGAATGGCGGCGGTGAGACGCGCCTCGCGGCCCGCCCTGTGAGACGCGCCGGTGCCCCCACCCCGCCAGGTGTACCGCTGCGTGAACGGGCGGCGCGTGGTGGTGGACGAGACGACCAGCGCCTACTCGGACGCGTCGCCCGGCTCCGAGTTCGCCGACCTGCGGCCAGAGATGGACTCGGACGGGTACGGCCGGAGGACCCCTCTGAGACGGAGCACGACACGCTGACGCGGAGAACGACGCTCAAATACGGGGAACGGTCCTGTCTGACACAGACTGGCCGCTGCGTGGTCTGGAGCTGCAGCTCTGATGCGTCTGAATGACCGCGTCGGACGGGGCTCAACGCACTTGGCTGAACCTTAGATATACTGCAGGCTAAGTCGCACCCGTGCGCTGATAAAAAGGAGGCGCTACAGATGGATGAAACGAGCACAAGAAAGCTGTGGGCAAGATCGTCCAGTCGCAGGCTGTAATTAATGGTGCGCTGTGTTTCATAGTTTACTTACAGTCAGACCGCAAGGTGCTTTGGTATTTCTATTATAACAACCTACGATACCACTGATATGCCTTATGCAGAGTAAAACGAGAGAGGGGACAACACACCGGGCTGCTATCATTTAGTAACATATGCATGAGGCCAAAGCCTAGCCTAATCGATTCAGGCACTTTTTGGTGACATTTCAGTGGGTCTCTTTGGAGCTTTGTAAATGTCCGCCTTTCATGGGAGTTCTCAACGCGAAGGTTTAGTGAGTTGGCTTTCGTGTCCCTATGTCATATCACGTTGGGCGCCGGGATGCCGGTAGTGTAGTGGTTAACGCGTCTGCGTCAACATGCGCTCGGGCGGCGGTGGTCAAATTAACCCCCCCTCCCCCGAAGGTTTTCCAGAATGTTTTCCGAATGACGCGGCGTAGCCGCACCAAATTCTGCATAGCTATACACAATTGAATAGCAGATCGTTCATTATAAAAGATAGATGTACGTTGTAAGGTCGCTGGCCTGTAGCAGATCAAAGTCAGGCCATGGTTTCAGCGAAGTCAATTTCTAGGGAATCGTTCAATCTGGTGCAGCAACAGAGTGTTAGACAAAGCCATACTTGTCTGAGATGCTTTCTTAGGCAACATATATGTTCAATGAGCAAGTTACGTTGACCTAAGGTCAGGTATAAAGCTCAGATCAAGGTCAAAGCCAACCTGTTTTATTGCTCAAGGGTTTGGTGTATGGGATAGTTTCTGGTGCTCATTTCGAATTTATTGATAGCGGGACCTGCACTATACATCTTCCATGGACTTCTTAGATGTCCGAATAGTCCATTGATCTAAAATGACCCGGGTCAAAAATTGGGGTTTTTGAAACATACCGCCTAGCGTAATCTTTGCCGCTTATTCATTTTTTTTTCTACGCCGTTACCCAAGAACAGGTAACCAGGAGTACCCCTCCCTCAATCCCAGCGACGCAGTAAACCGTACGTTAACACCAGAAAACATAAAATCAAGTCGCGGCACTCCCAGCTAGGAAGATGAAACAAACGTTAAAAAAAAAACAGGCGAAGAGGTGGAGCAGACCCGAATGAATTGTGTCATGTGATAGGTAGGGAAAAATAATAGATGAAAAGGCTTAAAGTAGTCATTAGCCAAAGTCGGCTAATGACAGCCCGCTACAACCGCCCAATTATCTACAACCACTCAATTCACCGTGTTAGTAAGGGCTATTCAGTCACAAGTCGGAGGGGGCAATTACCTGGTCATTTTTGTGCTGGATTTTGAGCTGGATGTCCAGGGAGTCCACCCAGCTAAGCAGAGCTTGTTGTTGGGAGAACTCCCGGAGCCAGCGCCGCGAATTTGGGTATATGTGCATGACTTTATCTCAGAAATTGATTATGAAACATGAAGGAGGTCAAATATGAAGTGCGTTGGATATGTACAGCACAAGGATGGCAATGTCTTCAAATGTGTTGGTTACGTTAATATGTGTTCACGAAATGCTTGCGGATGATGTTCTTAACGATGGTTTTTGATACAGGGATATCGGCTATTCTTGGAAAATATGATACCATAATGTCGTTCCACAGCTTGGGGCCAAGGCAAGATGCTGAAAATAGTCTATAATTACGATAAGAGAAAGGTTGGTCTAAATGTTTTGCTCGCCTCATATCCATGTCATTGGATTCGTAGAGATTGTAAATTAAATCGAATGATGCAGGGAGCTGTGAAGTTAAACATTTGTGCATCACAATTAACATCTGAGATTTAGCAATATCCGATAATTTCAAAATTTTGTATCGTTTAAAGATTGGCTCTGAGCTTTGTGGAGGATACACGTTTTCTATAAGACGCACAGCCCTTTTTTGCAAAATTACCAACCGAGCTAGTTGAGAAGCATAATTTATGCCCCAAACCAAGCAGCAGTAATTTAGATAAGGAAGAATCAAAGTGTTATAAAGTAGATGCGATGTTATTTTATCAATAAAGTACCTAACCCTACTTATTATTCCAATATTTCTACTTACTATGCTTGCAACAAAATTAGTGTGGCTTGTAAACTTAAGAGATTTGTCAATGATTACACCAAGGTATTTAATTTCTTTTTTCTCTTCAATAGGTGAATTAGGTGGGGTGGGCTGGGTTGGGTTGGGTTGGGTTGGGTTGGGTTGGGTTGGGTTGGGTTGGGTTGGGTTGGGTTGGGTTGGGGTGGGGTGGGGTGGGGTGGGGTGGGGTGGGGTGGGGTGGGGTGGGGTGGGGTGGGGTGGGGTGGGGTGGGGTTGGGGGCTATCTTGGCAACAAACGCAGTGGCATTTTGGACCGTCGCGAGAAAACTTCATCAGTGCTGTTCTCAGCCCCGTTCTCCTTTCAATGCTGAAAACGACATAAGGCCGCCACTGGTGGATGCAAAGACATTGATAGCGTGGCGACCGGCTGGGACGGGCCTTCTGAATCAAAAGCTTTCGCTCTTCTAATAAGACTCGCTCGTCTCACGATTAATTATAGTTTGCCAGCCTGGCATAACTTCCAGCAAAATCGCTAATACATGCTCCGGCCCAGGTAGTTTTTCACAGCCGGCTGCTCTGATTGGATTGTCCAGCGTGTCCAGCTCCCACCACCGCACACTGAACGGTAGGTGTACTTCGCCTGACCTGCTCCCTTTCGCTGTCAGGACGCCTGCGTACAGCGAGGACTGCGATGACGAACAGTACGACGGCGACTACGGCGACTGTGATGACTCGTGCGGGGACGGGCGGACTGGCCATGTGCGCGCGGCCCTTCCCGCGCCTGCGGGTCAACCCCATCGTGCCGCCGGAGCTGCTGCCGCCTCGCCGTCTCGCCAGGCGTAAGTCCGTGCAGCGTCCGCCGGCGGCTCCCGCTGAGCGCGCCGGCCGCCCTCTGTGGTGCCTGGCCGCCGCCTGTGCCGGCTGCCACCAGTGTCGACTCCCGTCCACCGGTGTCCTTGCTTCGCTCTGTGTGACGCGGTCGAGATCTCGGCGGACGGCTCCGCCACCGCCAGCCTGCCCCTATCCAACACGACCGCTTTCCGTAGATGTGTGCCAGTTGTGCGTTTGCTCTCAGTTGTTTGCTCTCATCCGTTTGCTCTCGATGTGTCAACAGATATTGATGCCAGCATTATTCATATTCACTAGCTGTGTAGGTACGTGAATTTTAGCTGTTTTTTTTTAAAATAAATAACCAGCAGCGTTTACTGAGTAGGATGGCGGTGCCCGTTTTCGCGAGGGCTCAGAATGTCCATGCCGTCGATGCGCCCGCAACCTCAAATATCATCACCATACCTCCCCGGACCTATCGTCCATTAGCTCGCCGAACATTTCGTACCGTCTGTGATTCTTGGTACTGCTTGCTCCCTACCCGGCCCATGTGTGTGATGCGATGTACGTCCCCCTGGCGTCCTGGTCTGTCTTCCCTGACCTGCCGTCCGTGCGCTGCCGTTCCTGGCCGGCCGTCCGTGACCCTCGCCATCCCTGATCCTGTGCCGTGGCCAAAGCCAGCAGCTCACACATCCAACACGAGCACTTTCCTTAAATGTGTGCCAATTATGTGTTTGCTCTCAGATATAGTGTGTGGTGTCACGCGATCGTTTATGTTGGCGGCCACCTGATGGCTGTTGAAGCTCGGAGGCCGTCACCGTTGCGGTTCCGAGAGGTGATCCGTGCCCGACCGCGACGCCCGGTGCCGACAGCCGGCTTCCGCGTCACGGCCGACATGCTGTCGCACCCGATCCGCTCCGACCCGTGCACGCGCATGCGCTGGTACCAGGACTACTGGGACACGCTGAAAATCCCTGGCATCTACAAACACCACAGTCTGATGAACGCCGTGCGCAACATGCTCGACACCTACGACTATCTTCCCAGGGTGAGCGGGCACTGGTCTGCGTGGCTCCTGTTTGACAGCTGATGCTGTCACTGGAGGAGTAGTGTGACAATCATCATCTATGCGGGCGGTGAAAACTTCATCCAGACTTTTCTCTGTCAGAATTTGTGCCAGAATTTTATATTGTGCAAGATGTTTATTTTGCGTTTGTGCTGCAGCACCCACTCCCTCGGACCGGTACAATCGATTCGCCTCAGTTCAAATCACTTGTTAACTTGTTCCCATATTCTTGGCGCACGCATTTTGAATAGCCGTGCTAAGGTACTGATGGCTATCATGACGGTTCACGAGCTATTGACCCCCGACGGCCGGGCTTCTTGTCGGCGAATACAAGCTGCATGTCGATTTTAGAGCCGCGTCTTTACGACGCTGCCGACTTTTTCAGCCGCTGAACCGTCAAGAGCCGGTGTGGAACATCAGCCTGCTGCGAGAACAGCCGACGGCCATGGTGAAGCTCAACTGGTGCTGACGGAGCTGGCCGGGCGGCGGTCACCGCAGAGAGGAGAGAAAACTCGCCAGCACAGCGACGCGTTCACATCGGCGCCAGAGGAAAACATCGCAACGGACTGTCCACACCCTGGGGTCAGAGCATCTGCGAGGACATGGCTGCGATATCCCCTCGAGTAGGAGCTCACCATTGAGGCCAGGTGGTCGCACCATTACAACAGGGGTAATGGGAACGTCCGGTTAAGCTTCTTGGTCGAATTACCGTCTGTAAGGACAGAGCTGTGATACAGGGGACGAGTTACAACTTATAGGAGCGGGACAATCGCACCGGGGTAATATCAGAACGGACATTCTCGCCGCCTGTGGTATCCACAGAAACTAGCGATGGATAGACGATGGGAACCCAGGACGGATGAACTATGGAAACACTAGGAGAATCACCTACAGGATCGAGTCAAAAAGGAACTATTGGAATGCTAGGTGGAAGAACCATACGAACACAGGATAGAGGGACTCTGGAAACGCTGCACGCTAAGCTAAGCTTCTTATGTAGGTGGAGAGCCATACAAGCACTGGCAAGAGGAACCACGAATCGAGATAGGTTGAACTATGGGAGGGCTGGGTAAGGAAGTTATGGCAGCACAGGGCGTCATTACTGCGGTGGACAATGGATGGAGGAATCACAGCATTGCTACTTGTTCCGTGGTAAAACTGTAGAACGCGGCACGGAGCTAAGAAAGTGCGGTACTGGGGAGCTATGGGAGCACTGAGGTCAAACCTCCAGGAGGATGAGCCCATCGCCAAGTAGTGAAATGAGGTGGCGGCTTTTTTGCTTGGTGCATGAATTCGCATGGGTGCCTGATCTCGTTTCTATGAGGGCTAGGTGATGGTAGAGGGAGTGGATCGGAAGCAGGTTCTCGTGGTAGAGGGCGGGGATCGGAGCGGGGTCCCATGGTAGGGGGAGGGGATCGGAAGCGGGGTCTCATGGAAGGGGTAGGGATCGGAAGCGGGTTCTCATGGTAGGGGAAAGGGATAGGAAGCGGGGTCTCATGATGGGGGAAGGGGATCGGAAACGGGGTCTCATCGTAGGGGGAGGGAATCGGAAGCGGGTCCCATGGTAGGGGGAGTGGATCGGAAGCGGGTTCTCTTGGTACAGGGCAGGGGTCGGAAGCGGGGTCCCACGGTAGGGGGAGGGGATCGGAAGCGGGGTCTCATGATGGGGGAAGGAGATCGGAAACAGGGTCTCATCGTAGGGGGCGGGAATCGGCAGCAAGGTCTCATGGTAGGGGGAGTTGATCGGAAGCTGCGTTCTCATGGTAGGGGAAAGCGATCGGAAGCAGGGTCTGATGGTAGGGGAGGGGATCGGAAGCGGGATCTCATGACAGGGGAAGGCCATCGGAAGCGGGGTCTCATCGTAAGGGGAGTAGATCGGAAGCTAGGTCTCATGGTAGGGGGAGGGGATCGGAAGCTGGGTCTCACGGTAGGGGGAGGGATCGGAAGCGAGGTCGCATGGTAGGGGGTGGGATCGGAAGCAGGTTCTCGTGATAGGGGAAGGGGAATTGGAAGCGGGGTGTCATGGTACTGGTAGAGGATCGGAAGCGGGGTAGGGGAGGGAGGGATCAGAAGCGGGATGTCATTTTTCAGACATCAATGAGGCAGGAATGCATCTCGCTATCAGTATCGGCCTCCACCGGCTATAGAAATCCACAGTATGGAAAAGCCAGGGACACGGAGGTCATTCACGTTGCTCTTTGCAGACTGCGTGTTGGGGGAGGGGGAAGGATAGCCCGAAATGGAACGATTCATTTCAAGCAGCCGATGATGTATTTAGCGATATTGTTGACTGGTTCACACGCGGAAGATGAATTTGCAAAAGACGCTGCTAAGGTGGTGCGCAAGACGCGTGCATCCGGAGGGTACGTGCGTAACTCTTCGTGCGACTGTACAACCGGGCTCAAGGTAGAAAGACACCGTTTGCCCTTCAGCTCAGGCAAATTGCTAGGGAAGATCGTTTCCTCGCGAAACGACAGGATTGTAATCTGGGAATGTGCAGTCTGAACATATATCCGCGTGGTCTCAATTTTAGCGGTAGTGCATGCACTGGGAACCACAGGACGCAATGCGCCTGAGGCCTTATGGTGGAAACTCGAATGCAAGTTTGCTGGCTAGTCCTGGAATCGTCCAACACTGCGTTCGCCGATTGGTCGACCTGGCGGCCGAAGTGCGTGTCCCTCCCCTCGGATGTAATGTAGCGGACCCTGCCCGCTGCACCAGCGGGCGAGCGTGGCGCTGTGGCGCGGTCAGAGGGCATCGCAGGCGCCTGCTGGAACAGGGCTAGTCCTGTCGGCAAGACGGTGCAATCCTGATGTTTCGGAGTGCATGCCTTGCACTCCTTGTCTGCACTGTGGCCTCGTTGCCACGTGACGTTAGTGTGTTCATACCGCACGTGATGTAAATTATGTCGGTCGAAGGGCTGAATATGTGGCGCAATAAACAACCCCCGTACTTGGAAGCGTTTTATTGTAGGCGCATACAACAAGTATATTTGATAGTGACAGATGAGGGCTGCATTTACTTCAGGCATCCTGTTGTCGCGGGCGGACAATATTGGAATCAATAACATGAGAATGACCACAATTGGATGCGTTCAACGTGAAGGTCGTCACTGAACCAATCGATGAATGAAGCGTACGACAGGGTAACAGTCAGTCTCCGCATGGCCTGCGGGGATGACGAAGGGTCAGGATCCCAGTCGGCACAGCAGACAAACGACCCCGACACTCGCGTTCGCCTGGGGCTTGATACATGCGGCTGACAGCGCACGACACACACGCGCCCCACATGGGATCGACGTCTAGAGATTTCCCGTCAACGCTTTGGCAAAGCGGTTACGAGAAGATGGCTGGCAACGCACTGCACACTGATGACTTATCCAGACCGCGGTCGCGTTTGCTTAGATTCGGAATGACAAAGTTTAAACGACGAGGGAGCAACGTCCTCCCTTCTGGCTATAAACCAGCAAGAACAGGTAGCGCTGCTACGCCGCTCCGACATAGCAGCTGCCGTCGCTCTTGGAGGGCGCGCGGCATGGCTTCGGCAAAGCAGAATAAAACAACTGGAAGCCGATTCAAAACAAAAGACGATCGACCGAAATATCTCAGACACAGCAAGCATAACTCCATCGACTGTATTGTGGGCCGCCCGGCGCTGACATCCGCTTCACGTTGTCATTATCTTTGATCAATAAAAAATAACGGCGGTCACGGCACGGCTAAAGCTCTCACGCACATTCTGGCCATCCTGCTCACAATCACACATTCGGAAGTGCACTCCATACACGGTCCGCGAGAATCACTCTGGTATTTATGCCGTGCCCACGCGCTCGGCGAGAAACAAGCACTCTTCTGCGACACTCCGCGCCTTGGAGACGCAGGCACTGTGTTCGGTCTCTGATTCCTAGGGAGCACGTGCAGTGCACATCCCTTCCCCACCAGGGGGCAAGCACTGATCGGTCTCTCCATCAAAGCGAGCAGAGTCCGTTTCCGGCTCACCGAAAAGCGAGCAATGTCTGTCTTCGTTCCACCAGGAGGCAGGAAGTGCTGCGCCTCAATCTCGCCGGGCAGCAAACAGTCTGTCTCTGACTCGCTCGGAGGATGCGCAATGCCCGTACGCACTCCAGTGTCCGTTTCAGCCTCATTCGGAGCCGAGCACCGCCGGCCTTCCACTCCCCGGGCAGCCGGCGTCTTCCGTCCAGCGCTGGGGCCCACACGCCCGTGTCGGCGCGCGTGCAGCGCTCAGGTCGTGTGCACACTGTCGCCCTTGTACACCGAGTGGTAGGACATACGGAGCAGAGCGTATGGGAAGCACGACTCCATCAAGTCCATGGAGAGGAATGGCGAGGCCTGTACGATCTGGTCCAGCAGCAGGTAGACCGAGTCGCGGTGCTTGATCGTCTCCTTCTCCTGCTCCTGGCCCAGCCGCAGCAGGCTGGACGAGGC